ATCGGCCTGTACGGGGGGAGAAGGGAGCCGGTCGATCGGCCTGTACGGGGTTGGGAGGACGGTGCCGGTCGATCGGCCTGTACGGGGGTGGGAGGACGGTGCCGGTCGATCGGCCTGTACGGGGGTGGGAGGACGGTGCCGGTCGATCGGCCTGTACGGGGGTGGAAGGACGGTGCCGGTCGATAGGCCTGTACGGGGGTGGAAGGACGGTGCCGGTCGATAGGCCTGTACGGGGGTGGGAGGACGGTGCCGGTCGATAGGCCTGTACGGGGGTGGGAGGACGGTGCCGGTCGATCGGTCTGTACGGGGGTGGGAGGACGGTGCCGGTCGATCAATCTATAGGGAGGGGTGGTTGTTGCGCTCCCTTCTCCCCCGTACAGACCGATCGATGCGCTCCCCGTACAGACCGATCGATGCGCTCCCCTCTCCCCCTGTACAGACCAATCGACCGGCTCCTTTGTTGTATGAACAAGGATACAGGTGATGCTGTTGACGGTCTGTCCTGAGGAGACAGAGGTAGAGGGGAATGTGATCTGCAGTAAGTTTGCAGAAGATGGGGGCAATGCAATCAGTGGTCTGTAACAGAGAGACATCCTGAAATCTTTGGGGCAGCAACAGGAAAGTGCATGATGATCTATGGGGCAGCAGTGGTTGAATTTCAAATATGTGTGTCTGTGAGTGAGTTTAAGTATGAGTTTAAAAGATTGCTTGCTTGTATGCAGGACTGGTCTTCAAGTGCCCCATGCAAGATTTATGAGCGTTGTATGGTCATATGGGCAGCCTCCAATAATCTGATGGGAGTTAGGCCAGGCCCCAGTAATCTGTTGGCGAGGGACACAGCCGGGAACACTTATTATAGTCTGTAAAGGGGATGACGTGATAATCTGGATCGGTTAGACTTGTGTCTTCATTGAACTATCGAGTGTGGGCCTGTGATGGCAGACATTTTCTTTTAATATAATTTAGTCCCTGTGTGGATTACATGGTTTCCACCTTGGCAGGATAGTCTTGAACTGATGATGCACTACAGATTTTAATTGCTTGGCTTTTATGATGCTGGCTTTGATCAGAACCTATAAAACTCAGCATTGGCTGTAAATCATAGAAAGCATGTGCTTTAGGCATGTGGAAAGTCCATAGAGGGAGCGTGATGCCACAGACTGCGAGGCTTGTAAAAGGCATGTTTATTTCTTTTTTTTGTAAATAAAGCTCTAAAGCATTAGATCTGCAAAAGTATTTCTATTAGCAATGTGCAGAAACGTGTACTCAGGCCGACGTCACTGACCAGTGTATCTGCTTGGTGAGTTCTTATCCAAATATACATTCATGCCAAAATAAAAATGCAAAGCCCTATTTATACATGGGATGCAGCAAATGATAGCACTTTAGGGAAAAATGTACCAAAACGACAGTAACAGACACAAATTAACCTTATAGAACGGGAGTAATCGCCATGGAAACAAGTGAAATTATTGTGGCAGGCTTTCTGTAGCTGTCGGTGATGGGAAACTGGGGTAAAGTTACCATGGAAGCTGTTAGGGTCAATTTTATTGCTTTGGCTTCATGTATCAAATTATTATATAATGCTTAGAGACTTTTTAGCTGTATTAGTCAAATGTTTTAAAATGCTTAGTAGGTGTAGCGGAGCTGTAATGTTAAATCCCAATATCTCCGCTGGTAAAAGGAAGTAATCCAAGAAAAGCACTGAAATGAAGGCAATATCCCAAATCCCCCAGTAACCGGACGAAACACAGTTCTGGGAGTCAACTGCGGTTTTTATTCACAGCTCCAGTATTTATGTGGTTCCCCATGCAAGGGGTTTCCTTAACCCCTTAAGGACACAACTTCTGGAATAAAAGGGAATCATGACGGAACATTTCTGTCATGTGTCCTTAATGGGTTAATCACTTTACAGGGGTTATACAGTAGGGGACTACATGGGAAACTTAACATACAGGACATTTCTCCCACCATGCACTGCTGTACGAGAGGGATACTCCCACAGAATATCCTGTTAAGTGGATTATCCCTCCGTACAGCAGAACCAGGCTTTTTATTCAAAAATATATAACTGGCACATTATTCGTGCTATTGGACTGAATGACATATGAGTAGATAGCTGGGATCTGAGCGCATATTTCGGTAGATTACCGCTCAGATCCCAGCCCAATTAACCGAACGCCACACAAAATACATTTTAATATGGATTCTCCATAAAAGACTCGAATACATATTGTGAGTGAAAGTACCGAAAGACCGGTGTTCCCGAACGGTCTGAAAGTCCAGCAGTGTTCGTGCCGTTGAGTAGCCGATTTTAGTTCCAGGCACTCGACGACCGAACACCGCTGAGCTAAAAGGAAATCCAAGATGGCTGCCACCGCGTGGTCGGTATCCGAACGGCGGCCACCCCGCTAATCAATTAACTGGGGAACGCTACAATGTATCAATCTGTTAATGGGAGCCACATGACCTCCTGTGTGTGGTCTCCCATTCGGTACTTTGTACGTTTCACGAACAGTGTTGAAAGTCACTGTTCGTGAAACTACCATATGAATGCTAGCGGCTTTTGTGCCACTAGCATACGAATGCCCTCTATCACCTTTTACCGCGAACACATAAAACAACATAGGTTAAACAGCCTTTCTAGGACAACCATGACATATAAACAGTAATAGTCTGAAGTTGCTAGGTTTGCCACAGTAGGGGCTTCTTCTGTGTATGAAAAACAAGTATTCCACCTCTCCCTGAGTTATGTTAAGCAGGTTTGCTTATCTCCTAACATGCAGAATTGTACGTGATGTGTTAGAATTGCTTGGTTTGCAAAGATTACTGTGCCAATCTGTGATTGGCTGAATAAAGTGTAACACCCTAGACTAAAAAAATCTATATATTTCCTTGTTGGGAGGGGAAAATTTAAAGGGCTTGATGAAATACATTGCGTTATCCAGTGTGTATTATTTCTGACAGGCCATTTCCCAGATCTGAGAAAGAGATAAGCCGGAAAGCAGAAATTTGGATGTCAGTGTGAGAGACATGAGAAATATCTCACTGTACATCTGACTTTCCTCTGCAAAAGTTAATTACTTCAATACCCTCATTACCACACTCCCGCGAACCCAAACGACTATTTCACACATTTAACTCTCTTCTTCGCCCTGCTGTTCCTCCTCCACCTACTAACTTGACCGCCTCAGACTTTGCAACTCACTTCACTGACAAGATCTCTACAATCAGAGAAGAGATCTCTCATCTTTCTTCTTCCCCTTACAATACTTCCCCTAACTTCACTCCCTCTGCTGTTCTATGTTCATTCGCACCCGCTACATTGGAAGAGGTTTCTGTGTATTTTATTGTATTTTACTGCCTTTCTACTGCCATGTGCGTAATGGAGTTTTGCCTCTGTCTTTGGAGATAATTGGATTACTTCCCAATTATCTCCAGGATAGAAGACTCTGTGGAACTGGTTTTGGGCAGAAAAGCCATGCTTCCTTTGGTCACAAAGGACTACGATCTATCTTTTGAACCAATGGACCAATTTGGATGATTTTGACATATGTTTGTATTTGGAGTATGCTGATTCCGAAAATGTATATGTTAATGTGATGCATACTTTCAAAGTTATGAATAATGTGGAAAAACTGTATTCCTCTGCCTGTGATAATTATATCACCCATTGTGATCATATTACAGGCAGAGGGGAGGATTTTGTGTGGGAGTGTCTGTGTGTATTGTACGGATTGATTGGTTGTTCTGTAAAGCCCTGTGGGCAGTACTATGTTTGTGGATTGGGAATAAAAGAGGCTGTATGTGCCAGTACAGTCAGATTCTGCTTAACCCTCAAATGAAGTGTCGTCTCGTTATTGGGGGAATTGGATGGTATGCTGACTGCCAGGAGTGTAAACCTTGCATATGGTTTTTTTCCTGTTCAGCTGTTTCCAGTATTCGTGTGTCTCCAGTTTTTAACCTCTCGTGGGCAAAACGGTCCGTTACAAAACGGTGCGTTACACCTCTTGACTAGTGTATCTGACTGCCTCTCTGCTATTTCTAACTGGATGGCTGCCCACTTCCATAAACTAAACTTGACCAAAACTGAAATTCTGGTCTTTCCTCCCTCAAGTGTTGTTTCTCATGTGTCTGTCTCCCTCCAAGTCAACGGTGCTACCATCAGCTCCACCATGCAGGCTCGCTCCCTAGGTGTTCTCATTGACTCCGACCTCTCCTTCAAGCCTCATGTTCAATCTATCGCCAAATCCTGTCATTTCCATCTCAAAAA